GGCTCGGGCCGCCGAATACAAGCCCGCGGCCCGTTCAAGGTGAAATTCGGGCTCGGGCGGGCGGCCCGAAAATCTTGGGCGGGTTGGGTTCGAGCTCGGGTAAATCCTCGGTTTTTTCGGGCGGCCCGTCCAAAGTTTCAGCACTACATAAAAGTAAAGGATGACATAAAAGTATTGTTTGTTATTCTAGCATTTTCCAGATAAAAAAAAAATTTATTATAAATTGATGACAATTTTTATAGTATCTATAACGGCAACTCACACAGTAATAAGTTGATACGGAAATTAGGATAGGAAAAAGTTTGAGATTGTAGCACTGTTCTTTTAATATTAGTTAATAAAACTGAATATAATCGAGTGATGCTGACTTCTGTTGGTTATTCCGTTGGTTGCCTTTAATTAGTTTCTATACCACAAAAAAGTCCAAGATTTTGAGGAATTTTCAAAAATATTATCAACAAAGTAAACAATATTTTATTCTGCATTGTTGTTAAATTTACTTTATACTATTAACAATCTGTAAATTATTTTTTTATAATATATACATTATCTTTTATAATCTTTAAGTAATTTTTCATAAATAATAGAAATAAAAATAATGGTTAAACTTGATTTTTTTTAAAAAATCTTTAACTTAATTGGATGGTATAAGAAAAATCGAGTTTTTTTTTTTTCTTTCGTTTACTTTTTTTTTTCTCCTTTTCAAGAAAAATCTTCACTCTATATTTGATTTCTTTTTTATGGAATTTTTTTTTTTGGTTAATAAGAGAATTCATTGCCAAAGAAAACAGAGCAATACAAAGAAAGAGCTGGGAGATAGGAGATCAACATCCTAAGCCCACTCCCACTCAGCAGAGTTTTGATGGATCTATATATGAATTTCGGCTCTACAAGGTAGAAGAAACAAAAAAAAGAATTTCCTTTCGCTTTCGAAAAGAAGAAGAAAGAATTCTTTCGTTCAAAAGAAAAAAAAAAAAGAAAAAATGCTTCTTCCTATTATATTGCGAGTAGTACACAACGGTCAAACACGCGTTATTGATCGTGACCGTGAGGAAACAACCCGCTTTCCTACGCGCGTGGAAGGAAGACTCAAAATTCCTCTACTTTTCTGTACAAAACGACAAGAGAGTGAAGTACATTCGCACAAACCGAGAGTGGAAGTTACAAAGCTCTCGTCCCACAGAAATCACCCTCCTCCTTCTCTGCATGCACGTTTCCTTCCCTTACCACCGTACGAACACTCACACTACCCAGAACCTACTCTCTCTGTTTCTCTCTCCTCTCTCTCTCTCTTCGTCTTCTTCCTCTTCCTCTCTGATTCAATTTTTCTCGCCATTTTTTTAATGCGGTTCTCAACGTTTTACGTTCAAATCCTGAGAGGGTAGTAATAATTTTAGGAGATGTGTGTTTCATGCATCCGTTTCTAGTTTTAAATCTCATGATTCTTCACCGTATTTTTATCCCGTACAAAATTTAAATTTCAAAAATTAAAATTGTAGATAATGATTCTGAATTCATTAACTTAGGTTCTCAATGGGCGATGAGGCTGATCAATTCAAGTGGGGCGTAAAGACGGGTGTTGGTCAAAGACACAAAGCTGTCATATTCTACGACTCGTTTACTTATAAAAGCGTTCAATACTCGCTTTACGACTGTGCTTGGTTCTACAATCCCGGTGATGTCGAGACTAATATCTGTAAGATTGTGAGGCTGTTCGAGACGCCGACCCACGAGAAAAAGGCAAGGGTTGTTTGGTTTTTTCGTCCTGGCGAGATACGTCGATTTTTGGGTGACGTTGAGCCAAAGTGGAACGAGCTACTTTTAGCATCTGGGCAAGGAACGGGCCTTTCCAATGTCGTTCATCTGGTAGAGTTTTTATCTATGATTTATCATGTCCCATTTGCTATACATTCATGGTTGAACTTTTTCTGTATTGTATGATACAATTGTTAATTCCAATGTATAGGCATGTTGGTAAATTCACTATGCATGTTGCTAAAGATATGTAGCTATGGCGGATTAATTTATGTTGTAAGGTTAGTTTTCAGTGTTCTTTGTGCTCCTCTTTACCATAAAGGCCTTTATGCGTAGTTGGCGTGATCGGTGTTAAAGAATTCTTTACTACGGAGAGCAATAAAATTATAGAGAAAACAAACAAAAACGTTCGTTTTCGCATATTTGAGTTGAGAAGTAAATTTATTTGAGAGAAAACATTATAGCACAAAAAGTTAGAATTTGAATTTTCATAAGAGAAAAATTGTGGTGAAAAGTTTGGGTTGTAATTCGTATTAGAACAATAATTAGGTTCAACACGCTCAACAATAGGATGTACTGGTAAAGTTTGCTTGAGCATTTTCCTATATTCTTGCAATGGCAGTGCAAACCACATTTACTCTTTACTGTTCCTCTGTATTTTGGATACCGCCATGACCAATTATCTTCCTCTGAGAAAATGTTTTCCTTTTATTAGTTTTTAATAAAGGGTATCTTTATTGAAATTCATTGAAATGATATGAGCTATAAGTTATTCAGGAAGCAGTTGTTGCGAAATGCAATGTTATCTGCACCTCAAAGGACACCAGAAATCCTAGGCCCTCTGCAAATGAGTTACAAAGAGCAGACTACGTTTTCTACCGTACTTTCGATGTAAGTAAAAACTCAATATCAGAGAAGTTTGCAGATGAGATTTGTGGAATTAAAGGTCAGTCTTTCTTTGGTGATCAGCAAAAATTCCAAACTTTTTGACTTTTAAATGGAGACCAATTTCTGTTATGTTTTTAAAACCTTCTGAATGCATTGCAGTGGAGTTATTTTTTAACAGAATGAAAGGTCAACGGTCAACTAATCCTCCAAGTAACCAAGCGGAATTAAAAAAGCCGGGTGAACACTTTGATATGTTTTCCAGTTCCAGGATAGAATTGAACAAATGCGAAGCCAGTCCATCCAGGAGTGGGCCAAGCAAAAAGATGTCTGTGTTAAAAGGTAACTTCTAAAGATACCAACTCTGCCCTTTGTTTACAGTTGGGAAGTGGGACAAATATCAATGAAATCCACTATTCCTTGACTTGCAGAATCAGACAAAGGCCTATATGAAAATCCCAAGCTGAAAGGTTTTGCAGTTGAAAGTGGGACTGTGTCCTGCGTACAAGTTAAAGATAAATCTAATGTGAGACCTTTTGAAGTTAGCTTAACTGAGAACGCAGAAGATCCTCGACCTTACAAGAAGAGAACCATTCTTCTAGATGACAAAGGTTCCATTAGTCAGAAAGGAGTATCCACCAAGAGGGACATTTTCGGAGCAGAGGCGTGTAAGATTATCGAAAAAGCAGGTGCTCAACTTGTATCCAGAGAGGGTCTCAAAACTAACAAACAAGTTATGGAAGTAACTAGAAGGCCTGATGCTGTAAGTCTTGAAAATTTAAGTTTAATTTTCTTCAGTTTACACCATTTTTATCTTCTAGAATGAATTGGCATTGATGTATATTTAACCTTGTTGGCTTTACTATTTTATGTCAACGTAGCTATTGCTTTTAAAATTTCCAACATTAACCACCAACTCTTCAGCAATTCTATTGCTGCTTGTGCTTCCAATGATGAAAAAGGGGGAAAAAATTATGGTCTAACCTGGGTCCTCTTTGCTGTCACAATAAGATGGAATGTTTGAACTTAGAAATAACTTCTCGAATAACCACTTTTTTTTTTTTTTTTTGAATTTCTTGCTTGCAGGAGAGGAGGAATTGGTTTAAACAACTTGTAAGTTCCTATTTACTGTTGGAATCTTAAAATATCCCATTTATGGTTTATTTCAAGATAGCGTTTGATCTTCTAAAAAGATTATCTTGGAAATTTTATTTCTCAAGTTCAATTTCTATGAATTTGAGAGAATCTGCAATTCAAAGGCTTGCTAAAAGAGTAATCGACGATGCATGAAGGTATTTCAAATTATCCTCAATTAGCAAGCCGTAAGGGATGCATAAAGTCCATTTTCATCTGGAAATTACATTTGCTATCATCTCTTTGTTTTGAAAGGCTCTTTTAATTGCAAAATGAACCCCAAAATCTCTATGGTATCCAAGTTTGTAGCATCACTATAAAATAATATCACAAGGATAAACTTTCTTCCTCTCCACAACTTTCCAGCCTTGGGAAGTTAAACTGCAGAAAGCTCAAGAAGCAGGTACACTGGTCTTGCTAGAAAATTTGGACCCGTCCTTTGCGTCAGTTGAAGTTGAGGTAGTTACGATGATTCTCCTTGTAGGTCTCTTTCTATGAAATAAAAGATGAGAGCAGTTGATGTCAAATACTAATCTACTTGAAGAACTGCTAAATCGATGTCATTCGCTTAAAATCTTCAAATGCAATTTTCATTTGCCACCAAATACCATTGGAAAGATAGTGATGCTTTATGGACAAATGTTGTGTGGCTAGGACATTCTGCTTTATCCTGATCCCTTTTCCTCTTCAGGATCTAGTTTATTGTGCCCTTGAAGAAAAGGTTGATGCAAAGATGATACAGTATAGCTCATTTTCTAACCCGTTATACGGTACAGCAGCTGCATTAGTTTTACCGTTTTCTCATTAATGAAGGAATCCAGCTCATGTGCTTGTATTGATTCATTTTCTTCCGTGTGAACAGGCAAGGCTTTTGTTATATTCAAGTCACAATCTGCGGCCGAAAAAGCAATATACGAGTTAAATAGGAGATATCTGATTATAGCTGATGGAAGGTAACTTAATCTATTGGTTTCTTTATTCTCAAGCATCAAATACGGTTTGGATCCATTGAGTCCCCCATTTTGAAATTCAGGATAATAAATAGCATGGTGTAATAATGGGGGACTGGTAGTGTTATCTTGAAAGTGGGATAAAATTCTTCAAACAGTATGGGTCTCAAAATTTTGTCCATGGCCCTTTTTCCTTTTTCGTGATGAAATTTGATGCAGTTAAAACTTCACGCCAGTTTTGGAATTTGGATTTTTGTTTTTGTTTTGTTTTTTTTTTTTTTTATTGCGTGGTTAAATGCTATAGATATTGCAGTTAATTTGGTTAAAGCAAATGGCATATATAGAATTTTGTACTTACAATTGGCTTTGCGAGCATTTGCAGACCTGTGACTGGCCGCAGAAGAAATCTGAGAGTGCCCAGTAAATCAACCAGTTTTCCTGGTCATCTAGTTCTTGACAAACTTAAGTTTCAAATGCAATGCGAGGAGATGGTAATTAGACTCTCCTTCAGATCTGTTTTCTTTTTTGCTTTTCCTTATTGATACATAATTCTCTTTTATCATTTTCGGTCCAATGTGTCAGGTTGTGTCTGAGATCTTCTTCTTCTTCTTCTTTTTATCTTTTATATATATATATATATATATATATATATATATATATCTTTTTGTGTGTGTGTATGTGCGCGTGTAGAGAAATGCGGTATCAACTTCACACTGTTCCCAGCCGAATACAGTTGAGTACGATTTGGCCATGCAGTGGCGTGAGCTACAGGCAAAGTCAGATTTATGGTGGAACGCTTTATATGAGGTCACACACGGAAACCATGCATATAGCAAATATGCCACCACATATTTACACTGTAAACTTTTTTTTTAAGGAAAAATTTCCTGAATAATCTGTCTCAATTTCTTTCTCAACTAAACGTGACATGTGAATTATTGTTTTTTATTAGTAGGTATTCGAAGAATTATCATATCAGTTAAAATTAGAATTTTCATCTAACACAGAAGTATACATTTCTTCTTTTTGTATTTATATTCCAAATGTACTCGTGAGCAGTTTTTGTTGTTCATCATTCTCTCGCATGCGGATAACAAACTTCAGAGACTTTTCTTCAGTTCTTGTTTTAACCTTCCTATCCCTTGTGGGACTCCATCTCTACAGGAACAAAGGAAGGAGATAAATGAAGTCAAGAGTCGGCTAAAACTCAATCGTAATGCGTTGCCTTTGTCAACGGTCTAACCACATTTACGTAAGCTCACAATCTTGCAACTGTATGATTGATCCTCTGTTTCCTACGTTATTATGTTAATACGTAGTTTAGGTAAAGGATTTAAATGAATTTCTGTGATACTTGCCGACTCCAAATTTTTGATCCAAGTGATTTCAAGCAAACAGAAAATCTTAGATAGGTAGATACAGAGGTACTTTTGTGTTCATATGGATAGAAATATTGATATTGAATTTGTTCATTGATGATCAGGTTGGGAGTAATTCCGAAAGAGGGAAATAGGCCAATATTTGAGATGAATTAAAATTAATAGACCAATAGTTTACATAAGTTAATAAATAGGCTAAATTACTGTTTTCGTCCATAATTTGTCTGGTTATGAACCATAACTTGACAAATTATTGTCCATAACTTATCTGGTTATGAACCATAACTTGACAAGTTTGTCCATAACTTATCTGGTTATAAACCATAACTTGATAAGTTATAACCTATTAATTTCTATAACTAAAAATTTGCCTATATACTTTCTTAAGATTTTCATATTGGCCTATTTCCTACTATTTCCGCTTCTTTTATTCGTTTCTTTCCTTTGGTTCGTAATCGTAATTACCCTACGAGTTTCGTAATATTACATAAGTGGCCCTTCAGTTTGTATCACAAAAAGCCCAGTAATTGTCTTTTGAAAATGAACAGAGAAAAAAAAATTAGGAGACGTTTGGTAAGGGGATTAATATCATGATTTGAATCATGGTTCATGGTTAGCTATAATGTTTTCTCTCACAAAAAATACACGTAAATCGAAAATAGTTTTAATCTCATGATTCTAATTCATGAACCAAACGTCTCCTTAACTCTTTGATTAATCAAATTTTTTAAAATTGAGAAATTAGGTGCGTGTTTAGAACCGTTTTTAAAAACGATTTTTACGTATTTCGAGAAGTAAAAAATGAAAATGAAAATGAAACGACGTTTATTTAGTAAATGTTTTAAAAACGATAACAATGAGAATGGTTTTTGTAAAAGAATTAGAAAATGGTTAAAAATTATTTTTACTTTTCTGTTTTCAAATTTTTTAAAATTGAGAAATTAGGTGCGTGTTTAGAACCGTTTTTAAAAACGATTTTTACGTATTTCGAGAAGTAAAAAATGAAAATGAAAATGAAACGACGTTTATTTAGTAAATGTTTTAAAAACGATAACAATGAGAATGGTTTTTGTAAAAGAATTAGAAAATGGTTAAAAATTATTTTTACTTTTCTGTTTTCATTTTTAGTACTTATCAATAATATTATAATATATTAATTAATAAATATGATTTTACTTTTTTATTATACTCAAAATAATTTTTTAAAAATTAATCAAACGTAATTTTAAAATCGGTCTCAAAATGATTTTTAAAATAATATCATTTTTACTTTTTATTGAAAATAAAATAATTTTAAAACTAATTCCAAACGCAATTAGTTGAATGATTTAGTCCCTACTACCCTACAAAATAAATTCCTCTTAAGAATTTAAGTCGATTATAAAGACTGGACTTTCTGTTATGGTCTTTGTCTTCGGTTCTGTCGATTCACTCGAGACGTCCGCGATGTTGGCTACGTTGTCGTTGTCTCGTGTTTTCTCTTGTTTTGTATGTATTAAAATACAAACTTGAAAGGCAAGCGAAGCAGCAAAATAGCATTCTCCTGATTGGTCATAATTATGATTTGTTGGACAAGAACTGGTCGATTATGTAAGTAATATATTTGTTCATGTATTATGATGCTGGACAAAGATCTTATGGATGATGTAAGTAATATATTCTGATACACCTTTGATATACCTAAACCACAAACTAAAAAGAAATGAATGGAAATCCTACGGAATGTTTGCTTCTCAAAGTAAATTTCATTAAGATACAAGCAACGTACCCTAATAATATATGAGCCTATTATGTCGTTTTTGTGTTTTTAATTTCTTTCTCATATGATTGGCAGTCTGCGGAGATTATGAGCATATTGACATAAGTGACAAAATTCAGAGAGTGTTTATAAGTATTTTCATTAAAAAATTTAGCGGAGTTAACTTTAGGGGACATATTGACACAAATAATAAAGTTCATAAGGCACAATATGCACATATTTAAAGTTTTAAGAGCCCGTTGACACAGGAGAAATTTAAGAAATTTATCTTTTTTTAATGGTATAAATAATAAAATGATGAAAAATAATGATTATCTTTAAATTTTCTCATATGTATATATGTGTGTGTGTATATATATATATATATATATATATATCGAATATTTACGCAAACATAAATTAACGCGTGTTCAGTGTTTTTGTACAAGCGTAAATATTATCGTTTACGGATGAGAATATTTCATGTTTTATGTGGGTAGTAATAACCAGACAAAATGAGTAGTTCTAGCGACGTTTGAACTTGATGAGTGTGTGAATACAAATGATTCATAGATTGTGAAACCTTATATCTATCCTGACTCAATCCACACGTATTAACCTAATTTTCTTTCCGACTCCAACGTAAGCTTCTCCTTTGTAGCTGCTAGCATGCCACGTTGCTACAATGCTCGGCCAGGAAATAAGTTTTCTAAACTATCTTTTCGTACAAAAGATACAGTCAAATTTTCCAAACTTTCTTCGCACTTTTCCCTCCAAATTAAATTCAGCGCAAAGCCACTTAAGGCTAACTCAAGTGGTTGGTCCATTCACTTTATTAATTCGAGTTTGTAATTTGAGTTGAGATGTGATTTTGTTTGAGAGCTTTTTACTGTAGCAAAAAAGTTAAATGTGACTGTTTTTGAGAACTTTTTACTGTAGCAAAACTCGAATTCTAAACTCGAATCAACGAAATGAACGGGCGTTGAATGTGCGTGTTTGCACATGTGTTCATTAGGATTTGAAATTAGATAATAATAATTTCATTTTATATCAGATATTAAAGTGAAGGGTCTAGGAGCTATAGACTGTACACCGCATAAAAAAGAATTAAATAGTGAAAAATGTTCTGATTTGCTTATGTAATATGATGTGCGGCATGTGTCATGACACATGAGGCCATGTTTAAGCAGTTAATAGTTACACCAAAGATTTATAATCGTCTCAAGGCCGTTCATTTCACTGATTCGAGTTTGTAATTTGAATTGAGATGTGATTTTATGTGAGAGCTTTTTACTGTAGTAAAAAAGTTAGATGTGATTGTTTCTGAGAACTTTTTACTGTAGTAAACTCAAATTCTAAACTCGAATCGGTGAAGTGAACGGGATCTTAATTTATTTACTCGATCTGTCATTACAATTTTTTCCAAGAACTACGCACTTGGGAAAATCAATGCCCTAGATTATGAATAATATTCGTGTTTCCTTGGAAATTTTTCTTTGAAAATTATTTTTCTAAAGAAGGTGACTCATGCATGTGGGCATCTAATAATTCTTCATCATATTCAAATAATTGAGGTAAAACGAAGGAACCAAAAATGAAACAATGTAGCTTACACTTTTCCAAACCCCCATGGATTCTTGGAAAAGCATGCGAAATAAACGAGGAGTACTGTTGAATTAATACAAAAACAAAAGACGAATATACATTTGTCTTTATCAGTGTTACGAGAAATACTTGAAATTAAGGTAAATATTGATAGAGGATGTACTTATGGCATGTGCATGTTGAGCTTGAATGGGAAAATGTGATATTTTTTTCCCTGTTGCTTAAAGGGAAAATGTGATTTTTGGAAAAGAGATTTTTTTTTTTTTCTGGAATTGGAAACGAGCTGAATTTATTTGACAAAATATATATCCAAATGGCAAATGCGTTTACCAATGAAACAGATTGGATTATAATAGGATTAAGGTAATGCTTGGATACTACATTAATCAACCACGTTGATGATCTATGCAAATATAAATATAAAAAAAAAATTATTAGTCCAAATTGAACTTGGTCTATTACATGTAATATGAACAAAGCGATGTACCTCTGACATCTATTTCTATATCATTACGTGTGAAAATTAAAGGAAAGTCATACACATTATCATGATCCTACTTATAATGCGTGCAAAACAATATGAACTCCAGAGAAGCTAAAACAAACCGTCAAAGGCAGTATACAAGAGACACGTATCTTCTGCCTGAGCTTGATGTTCCAAAAAATTTTATAAGACTTTGCGTACACGAAACAAAATCATCATAAAAGGCCAAAAACTCAGTATTATATATCTCTTAGCCAAAACTGAAAAAGAAAAAATATTTAGTGTGCGACACTTTTAACCCCAATAAAAAAAAGAACAAACCAATGGCATTGAAGGATATCGCTACTTTGAGGGCGTTAATTTTCTTAGCCAATACATGTGGAGTATATTAACTATAAAATACAGAAAAGGAGTATATAAATATATAATACTCACCAAAGTTAGCCCACGTGCTAAAAGCAATTAGCCTCATTCGTTTCACTAGTTCGAGTTGAAAAGTAAATTTATGTAAGAGAAAATACTATAACAGAAAAAATTGAATTTAAAATTTTATGAGAAAAAACACTAATAAAAAGTTTGAGTTATGATTTGAATGACACTACAACAAAAAGGGTTATTAGTGACGACATTATTAACGACGACAAACATCATTGCTAAAATTACAGTATTAGTGACGACATGTCGTGGCCAAAAAGAAATTAAATTTTTTGAACGACTTGTTGTTGCATTAACTATTAGCGACGACATGTCGTTGTATAAAATTTCAATATTTGCAACGACGTGGCGTCGCTAACATGTGGTAAATTTTTACGACGACATGTCGTCGGTAATAGTTAGTGGCGCCAAAACTAATCTGGCGCTAAAAATTTTGGCGCCAGCTTGTCCATTATTTGTAATGACATGTTGTCGCAAATATGAATACGTACAGCTGGCGGTAACTGTTAGCGTTTATGCCCTTAGAAATAAATGTAACAATGTTCTTTGAGACATTTTGACTATTAATAAAGAATTATTTATTTCATATATCTATGTATTGTCCTCATTATGTTCATATTAGTTGAATGTATGATAAGCAAAC